TTACTCTACCAAAAATTCGCGATTTGGGAAGCCGTTATGATAAGGTAAGATCTAGCTATCATAATTGTGCACACGTGTTGAGAGAGGACCCTTGCATCTGCAAGAGTGCATGTCCTCGGGGAGCACTTGTAATACACTGAACACCTTGGGATCCAACCACTTATTGGTTAGGTTTGACATGTCCACTCATGTCCTGACTAAAGTCTTTGACTTATAGTGGCATGCTGGTTTGGTATGAGAAATTGGTGTAGGTTTCTGGGTTTAACTCAGCGTATTACCATGTAGCCCAACCTCTTGTAGGATCCTAATTCCCAACTGGATTTATATAAAGTGTCAGACTATGATTTTTTGATGGAAATTAATTAAAAATGATTTATCATGATTTTAGAGAATTTTATTTCAAGGAAATATTCTTTATTAAGTTTGTTATATGTTAATTCCAATTAAAGATAGTCGCATGTGTCGTGTGTGGCACACTTTGGCTATTTGTGTGCCACACGTGCAAACCACAGGATTGCCACATCATTATCCTCTGGGCATGACGTGAATAGCCTAGAATCCTTGGCGTGAAGACCTTGTTTGGTTATTATATATAAACATTATATGTGTAGTACTTTGTGGCAGATGTGTGGTGGCATGTGTATGCACATGTAAATGTTAGTTTTTGTAAACGTTAGTTTTTGTATTTTGCAAAATTCTTTAATCTAGGAATTTTATGATTTGAGGGTCATTAGAGTTTTAAAATAAGAGCATGTGATTGGTGGCAGGAAGATAACGGGAGACACCATGACATTTGATGATGTAATGGCCCCCACAAAAATGACACTCCATGAGATGAACTGGAGCGCAAGTTTAAGATAAAAGATGAAGGGAGAGGGTGGCATGCCACCCTTATGAGGCTTTCAATTTTGAATTTAAAATTAATGATGATGATTAGGTTATTTCAAAATCAATGGTTGAGATTTGATCAAATTCAAAGATTAGGGTTTGAAGGGCACCTGTGCAATTATGGGAGATTAGGAGGTGACTTATGGACATGGTGATAAGGTGTGTTTGATCGTCACCATTTATATGATAGTTACCAATGGTGATTGATAAGGCTAGGTGTTTAGCCTCTCTCAACCCTTGGATCACTCATTGGATGGTTGAGATCTAATCTAGGTTAAAATCCCACATTTGGAATTTCTATGAATAGAACCTATCCCACCTCATTAAGTCTCTTTGGTCTCACTCTTATTCACTTGAAATATTCATTCAACGCACCACTCCCACCTATCTCTCACTTCGTTCCTTGTAATGTTTCTTGAACCTCTCTTTTAGTGTGTGATAATGCATGCTCTTCATCCCATAATAGAAGCATGAGCCCTTGAGCCTCATCATGCATTTCTCTAAGTGATCCACCTTCTCATTTGGAAGACATTGCTGCTGTAATCAGTTATAACAGTTAGCATTTTCACTTCATCTTTTCTCTTTTAAAGTACTTTAGTCTTTGCATTTAAGAGCCTTTCATTATATGTCTTTATGGTGTAGTCTTGAACTTGTTTTGTGCAAATTGTTATGTCATTTCATGTTGCTGTAAATGCAAGTGTGCACATACATAACAATAAGCTCGAGATGTGCTTCATGCACTAGGTTGTGCCCATTTCATCCCATTTGGTGTGTGGACTTCTAGACCAAACCCTACTTCTCAAACTACACAATTTGAACCCGTTTTGGCCTCGTTTTCTCATACCTATGGCTCTCATTGTCCTATGTCCCACATGAGGTTCCTGTGGCCCTTATTTGTTGAGTGAGACTTTATTAGTGTGGTGCTTATATGCGTGCTTCCTGTGATTATATTTGAACCATTCCTCTTGTGCCATCTGTTGGCGCGTATATTTGACGCACTTCTACCCCCATGCGAATAAAAGAGGAGGCAGTTGCAACTGTGGCACGCAGGCGTCAAACGTGCCCTAAGGACTATGGAAGCCCGTACAGAATAAGTCCAGATTTTGAAGAGTCACTGCAAGAACAACTTCTCGGCCCCAAAAGCTGCACCAGAGTGGCCTTTGATACCCCGAAATCATTCTCCAAGTTCGTTCGAATCAGGCGAAGGTGCAAACAGCTTCAGAGGGCCGAAATACCCTTGACTACCAAGTTTCACTCCAAATGGACATTTCTAGGTCCTACATTCTAAAAAACAAGGCCGTTTACTATTCGAGGAAGGGTAACCTAAACCAATTTTCAAAAATAGTACAAATCTGACACCTTCTTCCAAAAATTGGGCAAACTTGTCATGCTTATATCTCACGATCTGAAAGGCGAATCGAGCTCAAATTCAGCTATGTCATGCTCCGTGATGAGCGTGAACTTTTGACATATGTGACGGATAAATCTGATGACTGGAGTGAGAGAAACCCTAGAATGGTTTTTGCGGAAAATCAATGTGCACGACCTATCCTTGCTCCAACGATCGTAACAACACCCAGAGGTTGAATCGACCCAAAAATGGGTGTGTTTTGATTGTAGCTCGATAAGCTTCGTTTTGAGATAAGAAACGTTGTGATTGAGGTTTGAGAAGATGCCCGTTCAGTACTTTCAAGTGGGCACCAATTTTGAGGCGTCGAAAAAGTGATTTTTCGGCAATTTCCCAAAAACCCAAAATGGTCAATCAGAGGCCATGTTGCACGATCTTTGGTGCGAAATGACCGTGACGACGTCCCCTTCGATTTGCCGGCAAAAACGAAGCAATAGACGTGATATTTTTTACAAGATCAAGTGGAAAAGGAAAAGCAAGTTTGCAAGAAAACTGGAAAACTGAAAATTTGTGAGAACATTATCAAAACTCCGGATACCATGCAGATCTTATACCAAAACGATCGCTTTGGCATGATTTACATTTTCAAGACGATGGATCGTTCGAAATACCGCTGGAAAAGCCGAAAGAAGGCCCCAGGTCATGTGGATGGGAAGAGGCCTCTTTTTGGGGACTTATGTCATTTACATGATTTCTTGGTGCCCTTTTTGGTTATTTTTTTATTATTCTGAATTGTCATTTTATTTTTGTTATTTTCATGTTATAGCAATCTTTATGAGTTTTGAGTGTACACCCTTGTTTCAAGTGTGACCTCAATATAAACCCCCATGGTATGTAGTGTTAAATGTGTTAAAAAAAGCAATGAAAAAGGGCTTGAACTTAGGAGAAAGAAAGAGAGTGAGTGTCTCTTTGCCTTGTGCCTTCTTGAAAATCTTTTAACCTTGAGAGATGAGAGAAATTTTGTGCAAAGGAGAAACTTCCCCTCCCTCTATTCTTCTCCTTACCTAGACCATACAGCTCCCTCTATCCTACTCCCTACCTAGACTATACCCCACTCTACCGTACTCCCTACCTAGACCACACCCCATTCCATCCTACTCCCTACCTAGACCATACCCATTCTTTAAGGAGATTTTCACCTTAGGAAATATCAGCTGTTCGTCTCGAGTCATCCCCTTGGCCATTGTCTCTGGGGTACTTAGGCCGTTTGCCTAGTACCTTTCTACCGTCGCCGATATACTAGGGGAGGTGACGTCGAAAGGCTATCGGATTCTAGCCACACCCCTTTACCACCTAGCCTACCCCCCAACCCTTTCCACCTAGCCTTCATGAGCCTAGCCTTGATGAGCCTAGCCTACCCCCAACAAAGCCCACCTAGCCTGATGAACCTAGCATAGCCCAACGAACCTAACCTAGCCCAACGGGCCTAGCCTACCCCAACCAAGCCCATCTAACCCGACATGAACTCACCTATCTTAACCAAGCTCACCTAGTCTACCCCATACCTAACCCAAACCACATGAACCTAACCTAGCCCATAGCCCAAATAAGCCTACACGTAACTTTTTCCCCAACCAAAGGACAAGCCTAGGAGTCTGTAGGATCCAAACCATTACATGCGCGTGATTCAAGCGAGGGAACCAAGCCGAGTAAAGTGCAAGGGGATTGAGTCCAAACCATGTCGATCGACGATCGAGGGGCTTTTTGCTGGCGCATCCAAGCATTGGGATCTAAGTGGGCAATTCGCCCGTGTGCATCCGATTGCTTCACCCCGAGGTAAGCCTTACCTCGCTTTTATTTTTTTGTTGGTTCGTTCTGCATTTCACCACCCACCCTTATCCTCACGGGCACACACTGGGGTCGCCAACGTGCGTGTACACATGCGCATGCACGAGCAGCGCGGACACACAAGTGCGGGAAAAATAGGACTGACCACTATCGTTTGCAAGTGATAGCAAGGGTTGTATCAATACTATAGTGGTATTGCACGGTGAATGTACTTTAATTGGCTTCTTAAAAGTCATATCAAACTCACACACATTTGCATACCTTGTGTGAAACCTCTGGTCCTACTTCAATTTTGAACCTCATCACTCCACCACCAAGTTTTTTTGTCGGAAGTTCTTTTCCCTCTAGATTAGCCTAAAACTTCTTTTGGCACTTTCTTGTTAGATCCAAACATTATTCTCATATACAACCCCACAAGTTATGGATCTTGATTTACTAAATTATCCATTAGGTACATGGTCTATCACATTTATGTTCGTTGGTTCAAACAAGTAATCTCAAATACTGTTAGCCCTTTGATTAAATATCATCCTTGCTATGTAGGCAATTGATTAGTGGGACTCTCCTGCGTACTGTTCCCCCTGGCCTCCTAAAGGAGTCTTCTTGGCTTTAGAGATTTTCTAAGAACATTTTCTCTACTTCTGTTGTCTTAGGGCCTGAACAATACAAATACTACTCTCATGGAATCAAACTGGTAATTTGAAACAACCAGAGATGATGAAAGTTTCCCTGCAATGCCATCAACTGTTTAAAATATCCATGATGTTATTTTGATGCATGATTGTATGCCTGATTAAGTATCATTCCTGAACAACTTCAACTGAAACAAACGTCATCTAGAGCTCTTTTCTTCTGATAAAATTATTCAAGATAAAATGAATTTAGAAATCTCTTCATGGTGAATTGTTTCTTGCAGCACATCTTCTTGCCTCTGCTGGCATGGATCAGAATGTCTATGTCTGGAATGTATGGAGCTGTGGTCAGAAGAGAGCCCGTGTCTTCCACCATCATAATGCAGTAGTTAAAGATGTCCAGTGGTCAAAACAAGGGTTGTCTTTGCTAACTTGTGGATATGACTGTTCATCTAGGTTGATTGATGTCGAGAAGGGAAGTGAAACAATGGTGTTTAAGGAAGATCAGATGGTGAGGGTCATTAAGTTTCACCCAAATAATCCCAACCTTTTCCTATCTGGTGGATCTAAGGGCTCTTTGAAGCTCTGGGATTTAAGAACCAGCGATATCGTCCAGCAATATGTTAGAGGTCTTGGTCCTATCCTAGATTTTGACTTCAGTATCGATGCTAAACATTTCATTTCTTCCTGTGATGTGTCTGGAGGAAATGTTAGTGAGAATTCAATCATTGTTTGGGATCTCCGACGACTAGTACCTCTCTCCAACCAGGTAAGCTTCTCTACTTATGGTCTCCTTTTGAAGCACCACATTATGATCTCAGTTGCATTATCTGCTTTTTGTGTGCTACATAATAATTTGGTTGCCTACAGTTTGCCTTTTTTGTGATCCTTTTTTACCAAACGCCTCATACAAGCTCTGCATTATCTGGAATTCTCTAGATGAGATGTTTCATAATTTCAAATAACGTTTTCGTTGTAGTGAGGTAATGCTACTCTGGAATGAAAACTCTACATGCAAAGATTCGGAAATAATCATTTGATCAAATTGAAATGACAAATAAATATGGGAGATATAGAAGGGCACTTGGCTCTATTGAATACAAATTGCCCTTTCGAGTGGCATGCCCTTTTTTTTATATTACTTGGGAAATCATTAGACAGATTGAGAAGTTGATCTGGCTCAAGATTCGGTGAACTAGCCAAATATTGAGTCGACTTTTAATGGAACTTGAATTTATTAGCAAAAATTGCTAAATCCCCCTGTAGAATGCCTTCTGTATAATGGCACCTTACATCAATTACCATAAAAAGTCTTCTTTTACACTTGCCCCCAGGGTACTTTACAGCAAAATCTATGACCAAAAATACCCTCTTTAAATGAAAAAAAGTTGAGGACAAAAAAGGGCCTACCCCTCTCTCTCTCTATGATGTACGTCACAGTCAACCCCACTTTCTCTCTAACACCAGTAACAGCCGGCTTAGTGCTCTCTCTCTCTACGTAGTAGTTAACAGCCGGAGCTGCAATCCCTCTATAACACAACAGCCAGCTCTCTCTCTCTCTCTCACACACACAAATCAAAACTAGCCCCCTTCATTCTAAGCTCTTGAGTACACCTAACATGAGGCCTACTATCTCTTCTCTCGCTCTGCAACATCTTGAGAACCTTTGAATACCTGAAATAGCAAGAGACAATTAGGGATATAGAGGTAGGAAGGAACGGTTTTTTACAGGAAGAATTATCCAAAGGGATGGAAGACGTGAACAGTAAGGAAAAAAGAATAGGCATGATTGAAAGACCTCACACCTTGCTGTTTCAATTGTGGTTTCGTTGAGAGTGATTCTTTGTGCCAGGAGATCTTCCTCTCTCTGCCATAGCTTGAGAAGAAGTAATGGCCTGGACTTTCAGAGATCTTGGGGAGAGTGTCTTGAGTTGAGCAAGCAGTTGTAGAGAGATGGGGGTTTTGATGTTCTTCATCAACTGCGATCTCAATTATGTGAGATTCTATGGGGCTAATATTAATGGGTTTGTTGCTGTATTCGTTTGAGCAGAAAAAGATATCACCCAAACAAAATCAGGTCATCCAAATTTTTGCGAGAAAAGTTGACTTAAAAAACTATAAATGAATTTTCAGACTATCGCAAAGGTTTTCAATACTGAAACATCTTTCCATGCCATTTGAACGTGCGATTTACTTTGATTGTTTAGGGCCTCAGCCTTATATGTGTGTGTTTGTGTGGGTGTGGGTACGTGTGTGTTGTACACAGCTGTCATAATACCTCTCTCAATCACCAGTAAATTACGGTTGATCTGGGTACTGACCTAATCTAATGTTAGGAACACCAAAACAAAAGAAAATGTGATGGTATGAATATATGGATGGTAGCATTTTCGTATGGGATTTATTTTACTAAACACGAACCTTTTAGAGAGAGAAAATACACAAGGGAAAGTAGAAGAAGCTCGTTCTCTCTCCATCTCTAGCCCACAGCCTCCCCCTCCAATCTTTTTAAGAGAGAAAAAAACCTACACTAGGTAGATTTTCCTTTTTTTTTTACTTTCTATTTTCACTTAGCGAGGTATTTTGGTCATATATTTTCTGTAAGGTATTCTGGGGTGGTTGTGAAAAAAAAACTTTTCAGGATAATGAAAAATTCTTTTTAGGGTAGTCGCTGTGAGGGATTTTTCAAAATGGAGCATTATAGGGGGGAACAAATAAAGTCCAAATGGATCCCTTGGAACGAGAAACTTGATGAAAAAATGGATGGAAGCTGCCCATGCTAGGAAATAGTATTAAGAAAATATAAATCTTTCGGCCTTGTAAAAGTGTCATTGTTTTTCTCATTTTACCATTTTTCCTTTTCAATAATTATCTGGACACATGAAGTTATTTGCTTTTTGATTCATTTTATTTTATTTTTCGAGTATTTCTGATTCCATTATCTATTGATTCTTGAATATGAAAATAAAGGAATCTGTCCCTAGAATCATTCATGGATTCAAGATTTTAATTTTAGTGGATTGTTCAAGCATCTTGTGTTCTCTTTTCAATCCATGCCCTTCAGTTCAGCACTTAATTTGATAATGATGCAAACCGGCTGTTTTGCTCAGGTTTATGTGGAAGCATATACATGCCCATGCATCCGATATCACCCATTCGATTCCTGTTTTGTTGCTCAGTCTAATGGGAATTATATTGCAATCTTTTCGGCCAACTCACCCTTCAAGTTGGACAGGTATAAGAGGTATGAGAAGCATGGGGTCTCTGGTTTTCCAATCCGATGTGGTTTCAGTTTGGATGGTGAGTTACTGGTTACTGGTTCAGCTGAAGGATGCATATATTTTTATAGTTATAAGTCCTCCAAGCTTGTTAAGAAACTGAAGGCATATGAACTGGCTTGCATAGATGTTGCTTTCCATCCTCTATTGCCCAATGTATTTGCTTCTTGCAGTTGGAGTGGTGATGTTTCTGTGTTTGAATGAGAATTATTTACAGTCTTTGGTCTCCATTTGTCCCCCAGTTATTGAAATGGTAAATATGTTTCGTTACTGGCAATTGCAAACAAGTCATGGGGTTAAAACCAGTGTTTATAACAATAAATTGGTAGGGTGGATGCTCCACCCACCTATTCCGTGCCAGATTTGCTAGATCAATCTGGATCAGTTATCTGGGAAAATATTAATAAGTAACAAATTAAAGAGTTTAAAAATAATGAAACAAAAATTGCAGGGTGTTTTAAACATTAGAACGCATCAAAAAAGGCAATAGAAGAAAAAAAAAAGAAAAGAAGAAGAAGTTATTGGATCATAAATTTGGAATCATTGAGAAAACCAATAGAACTTGCTTTCTAATTGGAACAAAACAAGTTATCAAACTACTATTGAGAAATGCACCATTTAAAATTTTCCACTTGTTTTGTCCCAATTTCAGAAAGCCCTAATGGATAATGTCATAATGAATTGGGTTGTAAATTGTTGAGACTGTTCAATGCTATACCTCCATCACAATGACTGTAGTTGCTACATTTTAGGAACCCATAAAAAATAGATATTTCTAAACGCTATTATTGGACTAATTAAATTACCATGTCAGGTATCTCACCAAATCACCTTGAGCCATATTGGAGTGTTTTCAAACTCCAATTTCTCACTCTAAACACATTGTTCCATTAGTGTTTTCGAATGAGGGATGGAAACTCCATGCAGTTGAGTTTGCAAGCTGAAAGGGATTACCTATGATGATTTTGAAAGCTGTAGAGTCAGAAAAGTGCTCCTTGGGAGATGAAGTTCATGAGGAGCTGGCCTACAAGGAGAAGCGCCTTCATAGACGCTTCAAGTCGACGGTTTCTCGCCTAAGGCACGTAGCGTATAAGGTTTAAATTTCTGAAGTCCTGTCCCTCCTATACAGTTATAGAGAGGAGGAAGCCATCAGGTCAGGTGATGCTTGTTGGGGAAGGGAGAAGTTGCAACGAGGAGGATTGAATCAGTTGAGGCTAGCTTGTGTAAGAGCTAGTGCCGTACCAGTAACTGTACTTACGGACCTGGACTGGCGTATGATTAGATCAATCAAGAGATGGCGTTCAGAATGCGTTTTCCGTCAGCCTTGCATTTCTTGGGCCTTTCAATGACACGGTGTTTGTTTAAGGTGACTTAGAGATTCTGGCATGCGCTTACCAGGCATGGCTAAATAAGAAAGGGAAACCTTAGTTACGGGGTTTAAGCAAAAACCCTCTTCAACTTGGGCTTTGACAAGATTTAGCTAACGACAAAACTCGTTGGGGCATTGCTTGTTGTCTTCACTCGGTGTAGTTGACCTCTCGGATGAAATTCGCCTCTAGTAGCTTTCTATTTCCTCTTTCCGGGCCTAGCTTCTGTTTCATAGATCTTGCACTTAACAAGTAACGCTTGATTAAAGAGGAGCTAACCTTGGCATGTCGATGTGGCTCCCTTTGACTGTAGTTGTTGCTATGTGTTTTCAAGTTTACCACTCAATTTAAGACCCCTTAAGCTCCGTGACCTAACGTAAAAGCACGAAGGCACGGTCAGTTAACTATATTGAAGATCTTGCACCGGCAGCAAACTCAAAACATGATGAGTTGATTGCATGATTTTCTTAGTGAGAACAGCCCTTCTTTTTCTTTCTTTCATAGTCTATTCATTCTCCTCATTCCTCATCGTTCGTAATGAATTGATCGGTGCAACACCATTAGTTTGATGCTTCGTTTAAACAAAGTAGGACTAGCATACAACTAGATGTCGCCTAATTTAGGCTCGCACGACTCTCAGAAACTTGTAGTTAGGCTCATGTAACATAGAGCTTAAACTACGAACACACATAGCAGCTCTTTAGAAATCATCGCAGCATGGCAGCATATCCATATTTGACTGATAGGAAATAGACCCCACTGGAGTAAACTTCTTTTACTATGAAAGGGGCGATGCCGTTTCTTGTCAAACTTCCTCCAACTTCTTTTACTATGAACCGGGCAATGCCGTTTCTTGTCAAACTTCCTCCAAGTGCATTGTAAGCTGGCCTGTTTTTATGACCAATACTAAATCCTCATGTTTGGAGGACCATATTTTAACTGTGTCATACGTCTGCTCACGCCGCTTGGTATACCTTGAGGTTCTGTTGGGCTTGAAGGCGCTTTCCATACATATATCTAATTACAAGAGTAGAGCTCGTTCCACGTCTGTGAGCTTGACAGTATCTCATTTTATAGAGGAAGTGGGGCTTTGCCACCATTGTGTGGAGCTTGCTGCTACTTAGATAAGTCCTATTGCCCATAGTGTTTCTTGCAAATGCTCATGCTAGTACTTGGAAATTAACTTCTCAAGAGTGTTACGTAATGTTTTGTTAAACGCTTTAGCCAGGCCATTAGCTCGAGGATTCTACATGGATGAGAATTTCCATTTGATATAAAATTAATTGTAGAATTGAGTAATAATTTGACTCTTGAAAGAAGGTCCATAATAAGGAGAATGGCCTCCGCCCGCTTAGAGAAGTAGTTGGTCGCCGCCAGTATGAAAGTATGATCTCCTGAGGGAGGGTCAATGGGTTCAATAGTATCCATGCTACATGTGGCAAATATCCATGAGGCTACACTAGGATATAGCGGTTTTAGTGGCTGGCGAATGAGGTCACCAAGTATTTGGCCTAATTGGCACTTTTTAATGTAACCTACAGAATCTACCATCATGGTGGGCTAGTAGTTGCCCATACGCCTAAGTTGTAGGCATAGATTTGGTTTGAGTTGATGCATAAAGCGCTTGCATGAACCTCTGGTTGGACCTCGATCTCATCGGGTAGGAAGACCGTGTGGGGACCCTGATGGGTGGGTCCGGCTCGAGATCGTTCTCTCGAAAACCGCAGTGTGTGAGGTATATGTGTGGACAAGTACCAACTAATGAGAGAGAATTATAGGGTGTGAGGTGGGACCTACCTCATGGTGGGTTTGTGACACGCTCGGGTGTTTGTGGGCGCCCTCTTAGATCATGATGGAAAGCCCCCTAGCTTGAGGTTGGTTCGGCTCTAGTTCCCTTGCTCGCACTCTGTGCTTTATGAACACACACACGTAAGATGGCCATACAAGTAGGTCAGAGGACCCTGACTTATCGTTAGATGGGTATTTTATTGTGAGAATAATAAAAAAGGAAGAGGGTTGGCGATGACAAGAGACTATTTGTTTATTAGATAACCTTTTGACATCATCTTAACAAACAACCTCATAGAAATAAAAAATTAAAAAATTCTAAAAGATGATGATTCATGTAATCAAAAGAAGGGTAACATAATGGTAGAGGAGAGAGAATAAAAGCCGAGGAAGTAGAGGGTTGAGGGAGAAAGAGAAATGCGCTTAGAAGAGATAGAGGAAGAAAGAGTGTAAGAGAGAGAGGGAGAAAAGAGAATGATAGAGAAGAGAAAAAGAGAGAAGAGAGAAGGAGACGAGAGAGAACGAGGAAGAGAGAATGAGGAAGAGAGAGAGAATGATGAAGAAAGAGAGAGAAAGAGAGAAAAAGAGAGGAAGAGAGAGAGAATGAGGAAGAGAGAGCGAGGAAGAGAGAGGAAGTGAGGAAGAAAGAGTGGGAGAGATAGCGAGGGAGAGAGAGAAAGATAGCGAGGGGGAGAGAGAGAGCACGAAAGAGAGAGCAAGGAAGAAAGATAGAGAGAGTGAGAGAGAGGCCAAAGGAGGAGAAAGAAGAGAGAGAGGGAGAGAAGAGAGAAGGAGAGAAAAGAGAGCGAGTGAGAGAGAGAAAAGAGAGACAAAGAGAGCGAGAAAGAGAGAGAGCGAGGAAGAAAGATAGAGAGAAAGAGAGAAGAAGAGAGAAAAATAGAAAAGAGAGAGCGAGGAAGAGAGAGCAGGGGAGTGAAGAGGAGAGAGAAAGAGAGAGCGAGAGAGAGTAAAGAGAGAGAAAGATAACGAAAAGGAGAAAAAGAGATAGAGATGAGAGAGAGCGAGGGAGAGAGAATGAGAGAGTGAGAGAGAGGTCATAGGAAGGGAGAGAGAAAGTGAGCGAGAGAGAGAAAGCAAGGAAGAGAGAGAAAAAACGAGGGAGAGAGAGGGAAAGAGAGACTGAAGGGAGAGAGAACAAGAGAGAGTGAAAGGGAGCAAAGAGGAGAGAGAGAGGAAGAGAGAGCCAAAGAGAGAAAAGAGAGAAAGAAAATGAGAAGGAGAGAAAGAGTGAGGCCAAAGGGAGGGAGAGAGAGCGAGGAAGAGAGAGAGAGAACGAGGGAGAGAGAGCGAGAGAGAAAGGAAGAGAGAGAGTGAGAGGAAAGAGAGAGAGAGCAAAGATGAGAGTTAGAAAGAGAGAGAATAAAGAGAAGGGCCGGCAGTTTAGGAATTGGCTCGAGAGGTAAGTAGGAAAGGGGGAGAGAGAGAGAGAGAGAGAGAGAGAGAGAGAGAGAGAGAGAAGAAGAAGAAGAAGAAATAGGGGCAGGCTGGTGGCTAGGTTGAGCATAGGGAGAGAGGGTACGGCTAATAAGTTGGGAGTGGGGAGAGAGAGAGAAAAAGAGAAGCAAGTTGGTAGTTTAGTCGTCGGCCCTACTCGGTTGAGAGAGAGAGAGAGTGAGAGAAGAAGAAGAGAGAAATATAAGCGGACTGACGGCTTAGTCGCCGGCTTGGTTGGATGTGGGGAGAAAGAGAGGGAGTGAAAGAGAGAGAAGAGGGCCGATGGCTCGACTAGCTTAGGAGAGAGAAAGAAAGAGAGAGAAGGAGAGGAGAGAAGCGGGCCAGTCAGCTTGTCTGGGTTGAGGGAGAGAGAGAGGGAGAGAGAGAAAAGAGGGGGAGGAGAAAAAAGAGAAGTAAATATAAAGAAGGGAGAGGGGGGAGATAGAGAAGGAGAGAAGGGCAAAAAGAGAGGAGAGGGGAGAGAAGAAGAGAGAAAGGGAGAGGAAAGGAAGAGAGAGAAAGAGGGAGAGGACGAGAGAATCGAGAAGAGAGAGGGAGCAGAAGAGAGAGAAAATAACTCGATTGAATTGGGAGAGAGAGAAAGAGAGAGAAGGAGACGAGAGAAGCAGATCGACGGTTTAGCCACCGGTTCGACTAGGTTGAGGGG